GGAGATTTGAAGGACTATCCAATCCAACCCCTTCCCATGCAGGAAAATGTAATCAAAGCCTTCCTGACAGATTACCACTTAGCCTTGTCATAAAAACCTCCAGAAAACTCTCAGGCAACGTATTTCACAGTGAAACAGCTCTTAACACCAGACTTCTCTAATGTTTAGGTGGAATTTGTCTTCTTGCCACTTGAATCATTTGCTCTGTGTTCTAGTCTTTAGACCAGCAGCAAATAAGCTTGTCCCCTCCTCAATGTAGTATCCTTTTAAATACAGTAGAGGTTTTCAGTTAACCGGATTTCAAGCAACCAGAATTCTCAAGCAAACAGTAAAAAAATCAAGGAAATAATACTTCAAACTAAACTGTTATTATAATACAACCTGCATTACATTGAGTTAAATTAGTCTTAATTTTTATTACTGTATTTCAGTATAAATACTATTTATACAGTATACCTGTCTGAACATATTCTCCCCTATGAACCCTCAAGGACGTTAAGATCTTCTGGAGAGGCCCTGATCTTGGTCCTGCCACCTTCGTAGTCGCATTTAGTGGGGACGAGAGACAGGGCCTTTTCTGTGGTGGCTCCCTGGCTATGGAACTCTCTCCTGAATGAAATTAGATCAGCCCCCTCCCTCCTGACCTTTAGGAAGCAAGTGAAGTTGTGGAACAAGGCATTTACAGAGTGGTGGCTGAGACTGGTAATTGATTAAAGTATTGACCACAATGTGCGGACTGAGTTGGACATTGTTTTTATCCTGGCAAATGTTTTATTATGCTTTTTATCTGTTACTAGCTGTACCCGCCATGCGTTGCTGTGGCCAACCTTCCCCCTATCTCCTCCTTCCTTCCTTTCCTTCCTTCCTTCCCGTCTTTCCTTCTCTCCTTCCTTCCTTCTCTCTCCTTTCCTTCCTTCCCCCTTTTTCTTTCTCTTCTGCTGTCTCTCTTTTCTTCCTTCTTCTTTCTCCTTTCTTTCCCCTCCCTCTTTCTCTACATCTTCCCCTTCCTTCGCTCTCTTTCCTTCCTTTCCTTTCTCTTCCTTCTCTTTCTTCCTTCTCTCTTTCTCTTCTTTCCCTCCCTCTTTCTCTACATCTTCCACCCTTCCTTCGCTTCCTCTTTTTTTCCTTTTTTCTTCTTCTCTCCTTTCCTTCTTTCTCTTCCTTCCTCCCCCTTTTTCTTTCCTCCTCTTTCTCTCCTTTCTTCCTTCTCCTCTCCTTCCTTCTTTCTTCCCTCCCTCTTCTTCCTTCTTCTTTTCTCCTTTCCTTCCTTCTTTCTTTCCCTCCTTTTCTCATCTGTCGGGGGGTGATTTGAATGCAATATTCCTGCTTCTTGGCAGGGGGTTGGACTGGATGGCCCATGAGGTCTCTTCCAACTCTTTGATTCTATGATTCTATGATCCTCAATCTGATCTCCTTGGCGTGGCTTGGAGGTAACGTGAGGAGGGGGAGGGGAGGGGGGATGGGTTTAGAAGGGGGCGTGGCTTGGAGGTAACGTGAGGAGGGGAGAGGGAGGAGGGGGGGGGGGTGGGTTAGAAGGGGGCGTGGCTTGGAGGTAACGTCGAGGAGGGAGGAGGGAGGGGGGATGGGTTTAGAAGGGGGCGTGGCTTGGAGGTAACGTGAGGAGGGAGGAGGGGAGGGGGATGGGTTTAGAAGGGGGCGTGGCTTGGAGGTAACGTGAGGAGGGGGGAGGGGAGGGGGGAGGGGTTTAGAAGGGGGCGTGGCTTGGAGGGTAACGTGAGGAGGGGGGATGGGTTTAGAAGGGGGCGTGACTTGGAGGTAACGTGAGGAGGGTAAGAGGGAGGAGGGGAGGGGGGATGGGGGCGCGCGCGCGCGTGTGTGCCGCGCGGGGGGGAGAGGGGGCGCACACGCACGCGTGTGTGCCGCGCCAGGGGAGGGAGGGGGCGCGCGCGCGCGCGTGCGTGTGCCGCACCGGGGGGGGGAGGGGGCGCGCGCGCGCGTGTGTGCCGCGCCGGGGGGGTGAGGGGCCGTGTGCATGTGCGTGTGTGCCGCGCCGGGGGGTGAGGGGGGCGTGCGCGCGCGTGTGTGTGCCGCGCCGGAGGGGGGAGAGGGGGCGCGTGTGTGCCGCGCCGGGGGGAGGGGTTGGGGGTGCGCGCACGCGTGTGTGCCGCGGGGGGGGGAGAGGGGGCACACGCGTGTGTGTGTGTGCCGCGCCGGGGGGAGGGGCCGTGCGCGCGCGCGTGTGTGTGCCGCGCCGGGGGGGAGGGGAGGGGCCATGTGTGTGCGCGCGCCAGGGAGTTTGCGCCAGTGCGCATGCTCAGTTGCTTTGCCGTTTATTGTGGTTGTTGTTGTGTGTTTTGGATTTCTGAGTGGATTAGTTTGTACCTTGTTGGTTGCCCTTGGGGCATGGGAAGTTTGGTGGAGTTTTGTTGGGGGGTTTTTGAGTTTTGTTTCCTCATACGACGCCAGGAGGAAATTTATATATATATGTATTTTTAACTTATTGTTTTATATGATGTTTTAAAGGTTTGTTTGTGAGCATTGAATACTTGCTGTTAGCCGGTCTGTGTACCTCTACAGAGGTAGAGAAGATCGGGATACAAAAGTTTTGGTAAATAGTATGATAGTTGGGTCCGAAAGCACCGAGCGTTACGCACATTCCGCAATGGCAGTTGTGATTAAGGGCAGGGGAGAGCGGCACACTGAGAGCAGGAATATACTTCGGTTTGGTGGAAGGATAGAAAGGAGGGAAAGGTTTAGGGTTTGGGGTAGGGTAAGGGTTAGAATTAGGGTTAAGGGTCATGCTTAGGGTTTGGATAATGCTTAGGGTTTTACCATTAAAGAATTCTTACATTCCTTCTATAATATCTGTGTTCTGTTCTGTGTTGCGCAAACAGCGCTCCCGAAGGAGCGAAGTGGAAAGAGCGTAAGGCTCAGAGCTTTCATACTATTACCAAAGTTTTTATAAATAAATACAGAATTTATGATATGGTTTAGCATGGAGAATAGTATGAGCTAGGTCTATTTTAACACTAACTCTGAAGGACCAGAACCTACGGTACATTCTTTCAGCACCAGGCCCCTTCCTCCCTCCCACCCCTCAGAAGATTATATGCACCAAGCACATCATCTTCTGATGCCAGACCCCTCTCTTCAGAGCGAAGAGAGGGGCCAGGAAGGCAGTTCCATCTTGCCTCCAGTGTCATCAGTTGGAAGCCCCCCCCCCAGCACCAACTACTGTTCTGAGATCAGAGTGAAGAGAGGTGTCAGAAAGGCAGTTCCATCTTGTCTCCCGCACTGTGCTTATAATATAATATGATATAATATGATATAATGTAATATATTGTATATATTTATTTTATTTATTTACGGCATTTATGAATATATATACATAAAATATTGATATTATAATGTATTACTATATAATACTAATAATAATATATTATATTTTTATATTAGATGTAACATTACTAACAATATTACAGTATAATTTTATAGTACAATGTAATATGAAATATTAATATTGTGCTATGTATTTACATTTTATTTGCAAGTCACTCTGAGTCCCCTTCGGGGTGAGAAGGGTGGCATATAAATGAAGTAAATAAATCTATATAAATAAAAATGTAATGTTCATTTGTGGGATTAACATAACTCAAAAACCACTGGACAAATTGCCACCAAATTTGGCCACAAGACACCTATTAACCCAAGAAGTGACCATCACTAAAAAAAAAATTGATTTTGTTATTTGGGAGTTGTAGTTGCTGGGATTTATAGTTCCCCTACAATCAAAGAGCATTCTGAACTCCACCAGTGTTGGAATTGAACCAAACTTGGCACACAGTTCTCCCATGACCAACAGAAAATACTGGAAGGGTTTGGTGGGAAGTGTCCTTTGGTTTTGGAGTTGTAGTTTACCTACATCCAGAAAGCACTGTGGATTCAAACAATGATGGATCTGGATCAAACTTAGCATGAATTCTCAATATACCCAAATGTAAACACTAGTGGGGTTTGGGGAAAATAGACCATGACATTTGGGAGTTGTAGTTGCTGGGACTTATAGTTCACCTACAATCAAAGAGCCTTCTGAACTCCATCAATGATGAAATTGAATCAAACTTGGCACACAGAACTCCCATGACCAAGAGAAAATACTGGAAGGGCTTGGCATGCATTGACCTTGAGTTTTGGAGTTGTAGTTCACCTATATCCAGAGTGCACTGTGGACTCAAACAATGATGGATCTGGACCAAACTTGGCACAAATTCTCAATATACCCAAATGTAAACACTAGTGGGGTTTGGGGAAAATAGACCTTGACATTTGGGAGTTGTAGTTGCTGGGATGTATAGGTCATTCCAATCAAGAACATTCTCAACTCCACCAACGATAGAATTGGCTCAAACTTCCCACATGGAATCCCCATGACCAACAGAAAATACTGTGTATTGTCGAAGGCTTTCATGGCTGGAATCACTCAGTTCTTGTGGGTTTTTTCAGGCTATATGGCCATGTTCTAGAGGCATTTCTCCTGACGTTTCGCCTGCATCTATGGCAGGCATCCTCAGAGGTGAGGGATTCTCTGAGGATGATCCCAGAACTCCCATGACAAACAGCAAATACTGTGTTTTCTGATGGTCTTTGGTGACCCCTCTGACACCCCCTCGTGACCCCCTCAGGGGTCCCGACCCCCAGGTTGAGAAACACTGAACTAGAGCATCCCTACTTTGCGGATTTTCACTTTTCGTGGGTGATCTTGGAATGTAACACCCGCGATAAGTGAGGGAACGCTGTAGTGCAGTGGTTCTCAACTTGTGGGTCCCCAGGTGTTTTAGCCTACAACTCCCAGAAATCCCAGCCAGTTTACCAGCTGTTAGGATTTCTGGGAATTGAAGGCCAAAACATATGGGGACCCACAGGTTGAGAACCACTGCTGTAGTGTATTCTGGCCAGTCCCCGGCCCCAGAAAGACCAGTCCAAAAGAGCTGGAGGGAAGGCCCAAGATGGCCCTTGCCTGGATTGGTGTTCCTTCTCACCTCTTGGCGTGGCGGCCCCCCTGGGCCTGCAGCTCGGCCAGGCTGATCTCGGCGCGGCCTAGGAACTTGTCGAGGCCGAGCAGAGCGCGGTGGAAGACGGTGAGCTGGAGGGCGGCGAGCGGGGCGGGCCCTTCGGCGTCCCCTTCGTCGCGGACCAGGCCCAGGCCGCCTCCTCCTCGTCCTCGCTGTCGCGGCGGCGGTGGGAGCTCGAAGGTGGCCTCCTCCCGCCAGATGGGCGCGCCCGAACAGCGCTCGGCCACCGAGGTGGCGAACTTCTCCTTGCCCAGCGCCATCACGGCGTAGGCGTCGCTGCCCTGCCCGCCTTTGGCCTTGGCACGCAGGCCCCGCGCCTGAAGAACCGTCACCTGGACGTGGGTCGGCGCCCACCGAGAGCCCAGGGACGAGGAAGGCGAGCCCGGCAGAGACATGGCGGACGCTCCCTTCCAACCCCTCAAACGCGGAAGCCCGGCCTAAGGCCTACAAACCGTCATCGCGTCGCCTCAAAACAACACTGAAGGGAAGGCGGAAGAAGGAAAGCCTTTAACGCGACCGCTCTCGCGAGAGTTGGTACCTGACGGGACATTGGAAGGGGCGGGGCCGTGTGGACATTGGGGGCGGAGCTAATGCTGGGTGTAAACAAATACCAGCATCTGCTAACCCAGTGGTTCCCAACCTTCCTTTTTATATTAGATTTTGATTGAACACTAGCTGTACCCGCCACACGTTGCTGTGGCCAACCTTCCTTTCCTCTTTCTCTTCTTTCTCTCCTTCCTTTCTTCTCTTCTTCTTCCCTTCCATCCCCCATCTTTTCTTTCCCTTCCCCTTTCTCCCCTTTCCTCCTTTGCTACCTATTCTTGCACTGTCATAGAACTCCAGTATGCTGATGACAACGTCGTCTGTGCACATTCAGAAGAATCATAGAATCCAAGAGTTGGAAGAGACCTCATGGGCCATCCAGTCCAACCCCTTTCTGCCAAGAAGCAGGAATATTGCATTCAAATCACCCCTGACAGATGGCCATCCAGCCTCTGTTTAAAAGCTTCCAAAGAAGGAGCCTCCACCACATTCCGGGGCACAGAGTTCCACTGCTGAATGGAAGAGACCTCATGGGCCATCCAGTCCAACCCCTTCCTGCCAAGAAGCAGGAATATTGCATTCAAATCACCCCTGACAGATGGCTATTCAGCCTCTGTTTAAAAGCTTCCAAAGAAGGAGCCTCCATCACACTCCGGGGCAGAGAGTTCCACTGCTGAACAGCTCTCACAGTAATTACACTGCTGAGCCGGTATTGCACCACCTGACATCTGCCGGGAAGTGGCAGCCAATAGTGAAAGGACCAAGGCAGAGACATCTCCAGCTCATCCCCTGTTTGGGTATCAGCCAGCACGTCAACAACTTAAATCTAAACATAGTTTTCTAAGATCTACAGAGACACTCGCTGGAACACCTCAGCAAGCGAGAGTCCAAAAGTGGCAGGCTCAAACCCAGCACCTCAATCAATGGCTGATACCAAATGAGAGACTCCCCCCTGGGCACACAGAAAACTGGGCGACTTGGAAGGCGCTGAACAGACTGCGCTCTGGCACCACGAGATGCAGAGCCAACCTCAAGAAATGGGGCTACAAAGTGGAATCCACGACATGCGAGTGTGGAGAGGAGCAAACCACAGACCACCTGCTGCAATGCAACCTGAGCCCTGCCACATGCACAATGGAGGACCTCCTTGCGGCAACACCAGAGGCACTCCAAGTGGCCAGATACTGGTCAAAGGACATTTAATCAATTACCAAGCTTGCAAACTTTGTGTTTTGTCTGTTTGTTTGCTTTGTTAAAAATGTAATACAATTGTCTGGTTGCTCCTGACACAATAAATAAATAGCTCACCCACATCCAGAGACCACTGTGGACTCAAACAATGATGGATATGGACCAAACTTGGCACGAATCCTCAATATGCCCAAATATGAACACAGATGGAGTTTGGGGGAATAGACCCTGACATTTGGGAGTTGTAGTTTCTGGGATTTATAGTTCACCTACAATCAAAGAGCATGCTGAACCCCACCAATGGCAGAATTGGGCTAAACTTCCCACACAGAACCTGAAAGACCAAAAGAAAATACTTAAGGCCATCCAGTCCAACTCCCTTCACCAGGGCAAGAAAATGTAATCAAAGCCCTCCTGACAAAGAGCCATCCAGCCATAGATATAGATAGATAGATAGATATGATTCACACACAGAAAGATATATAGTCTCATGGATTTGAAAGGGACCCCTAAAGAAGGACAATGATATGTTGCATGTTCCAGAGCAGGCAAACCAGACACTCTCTGCATCAACACTGCTAAAGAAACAGTAAGAAATACTGTTTACCCACAAGCAGAAAGAAATTACTTATATTAGAAACCAAAACTTTCTCATTATTTTCCAGATCACCAGACTGGGGTAGAGCAACGCAGGGGGCGGCTAGTAATAACAATAAATTGTCAAAGGCTTTCATGGCCGGAATCCATGGGTTGTTGTGGGTTTTTTCGGGCTATATGGCCATGTTCTGGAGGCAATTTTTCTCCTGACGTTTCGCCTGCATCTATGGCAAGCATCCTCATACCTCTGAGGATGCTTGCCATAGATGCAGGCGAAACGTCAGGAGAAAAATTTCCTCTAGAACATGGCCATATAGCCCTGAAAAACCCCACAACAACCTAATAAAAACTTTATTTATATCCCGCTCCATCTCCCCCAGGGGGACTCAGTGCGGCGTACATGAGGCCATGCCCAAAAATACAGTAACACAATATAACACAAAAGCATAACAAAACCAGAAATAAAATACATAAAATGCAAAAGCAATATAATAGTCAGACCACAAAAATAGTTGTAGTCTAACACATTGTTGCCAACACTGTGTTTGGATGCAACAACATCCCTTTCCCCTCCCGTGCCAAATATTTTCCTTGTTTAAGCCTCTTTTCTGTATCGCATGTCTAATCTGCTGAATTTCCTTTTATTTATAGGTCCATCTCTCTTCTGATGTTTGAGCGTGTTGCAAGACAGTCACAGCAGGGAACGACGTATGACACAGCACATTCTTCCACAGTGTGGAATTTCCTCCTCTGGGTTGCTAGTTCTGAGATACACATTAAAAAAAAAAAAAAAAGGTTAGGCCAAACTGGTTTACAAAGCCACATACAATTTATTGTTGAAGGCTTTCATGGCCGGAATCACTGGGTTGTTGTAGGTTTTTTCGGGCTAAATGGCCATGGTCTAGAGGCATTTTCTCCTGACGTTTCGCCTGCATCTATGGCAAGCATCCTCAGAGGTAGTGAGGTCTGTGAGGTCTCAGAGGTAGTGAGGCCAATGGAGACTCTACCTCAGACATCAGAAGAGCGGCAAGATCGAGAACAAGCCACAAGAGTAAAGACCAAGATCCACCCAGAGGGAAAGTGCTCTTGCCATACATCAAGGGAACCACTGACCGCAGAGGGAAGCTGATGAGGAAACACAACATACAAACTATCCACAGACCCACCAAGAAAATCCAACAAATGCTACGTTCAGCAAAGGACAAGAGGGATCCTCTCACCTCTGCAGGAGTCTACCGTATACCATGCAGCTGTAGACAAGTCTCCATAGGGACCACCAAACGCAGCGTTGCCCAAACACGAATCAAGGAACATGAAAGGCACTGCATACTACTTCAACCAGAGTCCAGTCGTGCCTGAACCTGCCAGGTCGTGCTCATCTCCATTTCTAAGCTGAATTGTCCATAGACACCTCCAAAGGTCATGTGGCCGGCATGACTGCATGGAGCACCATTACCTTCCCGCCGGAACAGTGACCAGGGGCTGGAGCAAGTCCTAGTCGTTCTCAAAGGCCTGGTGAAACCACGAAGTCTTCAAGCTCTTATGATCTTACTTGTCCAAATGCATCTCCCTCTACATCCTGCCTCACAGTTTAAGATAATCCGGACAGTCCCTGCTCTCGCTCCCGCCAGCGTCGCAAATGCATCTGGCGGGGACGAGAGACAGGGCCTTCTCGGCTGTGCCCTCCCCCCATGGAACTCACTTCCCACCGAGGTAAGATCGGCTTCATCCCTCCTGTCTTTCAAAAGCCTGGTTCTGGGACCAGGCTTTTGGACAGCAGGCATAAATAGCCTTTTGATATGGAATTCAACTGGAATGATGATTTGGCTGTTAATACTGTTCTTATTGGGTTGTTGTAAGTTTTTTTCGGGCTGTATGGTCATGGTCTAGAGGCATTCTCTCCTGACGTTTCGCCTGCATCTATGGCAAGCATCCTCAGAGGTAGTGAGATCTGTTGGAACTAGGAAAAAAGGGGTTTATATATCTGTGGAAAGACCAGGGTGGGACAAAGGACTCTTGTCTGCTGGAGCTAGGTGTGAATGTTTCAACTGACCACCTTGATTAGCATACAATGGCCTGACTGTGCCTGGAGCAAACTTTTGTTGAGAGGTAATTAGATGTCCCAATTTTCCGTTCTGGAGTTCGGAATAGAGCAACTGCTTTGGGAGACGGTGGTTGGGCATCCGGACAATGTGACCGGTCCAGTGGAGTTGATGGCGGAGGACCATCGCTTCAATGCTGGTGGTCTTTTGCTACTTCCAGTATGCTGACGTTTGTCCGCCTGTTTTCCCAAAAGATTTGCAGGATTTTCCGGAGGCAGCGCTGATGGAATCGTTCCAGGAGTTGCATGTGATGTCTGTAGACAGTCCACGTTTCGTAGGCATATAGCACTAAGGACACTATGGATCCCATCATTCTCCAAAAGCCTGGAAATGACTATGTTGGCGGGGAGGCTTTTGTAGTTTATGCGGTAGGTTTGGGGAGTGATCAGTGGGGAAGATTGGTTGTTGATAGTTAGAACAGACTTCTGGAGCAACCCAAAAATTGAGTTGTGTCAGCACAAGACCAACTCACGCCATCATAATTCAATGACAGAACCACCTTGGGAGATGTAGGGCGGTGGCTGTATTTACCCAAGCACATGTGCACCTTCCAGGTATACCTACATATCTTGCCAACAGCCTGAAATAGTTGTTTGGTCTCCCAGCTTCGCAGAAACGACCAACATAGGCCAACAACAAACATAATGCAGAACAATTAGTATCAATGGCTCCTTCCTTCTTCTCCATTGTGTACCCAATAATTTAGTACCAGAACTGTTCTTTATAGAGAAGGGAGCAGGCAAGCGGAAAGTGTGCTGGGGAGTTTCGGTGTTTGTTGTCTCATGGCTGTGCTATGCTTTGAAGGGTGTGGTGCTCCTTGATTCGAGAATGGGGATAGTTATTCATTTGTGCATGACTGAGTGTCACCTGTTTCCTTACCTGCTTGGAAAGCTGCCCAAGAAGAGCCTTCTGTGCCGAGTTTTCCTTGTACACAAAAGCTGTATACTTGTGCCTAGCAGTTACAGAAGGCAATGGAATGGACTGGAAAGTTTTCCAACTCTTTCTTCTGACTTAGTACTTTACTGCACGAGGAAGGCTTACTGGTAATGTAGCTGGACCATCACCAAAAGTCCCTATAGCAGTGTTTCTCAACCTTCCTA